AATTCCCCAGCCAGCCATGCTGGCTGGGGAATTCTGGGAGTTGAAGTCCACCCATCTTAATGTTGCCAAGTTTGAACAACACTGATTTAGGTAGTGCTTCTGAACTCAGCATCCTGAATTGGCCTGATTTGAATCACGCTGGAATCCAGGGTTATCCCTGAATACCTGAAAACCAGCTGCGGGAAAATGATGCATTTTAAGGCTACCGGGGTGGGTCCCTGGCCAGAGTGGGACACGATCTTGACCTAAACCCAGCCTACTTCACTGCACATCTTCCCGGCAAACGCAGCTTCCCAAGGATCATTGCCCGAAATTAGTTTTAGGTTCCATGCGCAAAGTCCAAGCATTTCACGTGAATCAACAGCCCATTTCATTCTAGCCCATTTCCTCTGCTCAAACAACCATTTTTTTTTTCCTTTCCCGAACTGTTTCAAGTGAATAAACAAGTTGTGTGTCAGACGAAAGGGCACGGCTCACTGTGTAGTGGTTAAACAGGCTTGTGTTGCGTGGCTGTGGTGGAGCATGGTTGGGTCATCTTTTTTCTTCCTGTTTTTGCATATGATTTTAATTGGAACTTTTGAACAAGGAGGTAAAAACACACACGAACGAATATAAAGTAAGGGAGCAAAAAGAGCAAGAAATGAAAGAGGAAGCAAAGAGTGCACGAAAAGAAAAAGGAAGTGGAAGAAAAATAGGAAAAAGTTTCAAAGCAAGTAGCTTCCAATATTCTTCACAGCAGTTATAAGTAATTATACTTTAACCTCTCTCTAAAGTTACATCATAATACTCTTTCTATAATGTATTCTGTCGAATCATCAAAGCCATGAATCCCAGGTTCATTTGTTTCATTTTTCCACAAAAAGTCCACAAGAGGTTTCCAGTCGCCAATAAATGCAGATATTGTCTTCACCAACCGTTCCTCCAAAATGGGAAGTGCTGAATTTTTCCATCTTTGCACATAAAATAATCTCGTGGCTGGGTTATTTTCTTGTGTTACTCAAAAATCACCAGGCCATGTCCGTGGTGGTGGATTTTTTTCAACCCGGAGGGGCAGCCTGAGAAATTGGGGGGGGGAATGACTGAGTGGCTGAAAATAATGGGGTCTCCACTTCTCAGAGAGAAGAATGCTGGGTTTAAATGCTTCTGGCGACAACGCTTTGCTGCTGAAAAACTGTTTAAAGATCTTTCTTTTTTTAAAAGGCACGGGTGCCTTAACGGTAAGCTGTTCAGCTGATCGGGCCTTGGGTATTTCTGAAGCTTTCCAGATAATAAACACGTTGGCACGTTGAGTCAGACTCAGAAAGGAACCGGGATCCTCTGTGGATGATTTTGTTATAAAAAAAGAGCTCTGTTGAACATTGACTGGGGTTGCAGTTTGAGTTGCCAATTTTTCCAAATACTTATCAAAAGCTGGGGGGGGGGTGTTAAAAAACACAGCAGTAAAGACAAGTATGCAAAGTATGTGGGGCTTTATAGTTTTTCTTTGGATGTTTGTGGGAGTTTCTCCTCCCCCCCCCCTTGATTTTGACACACTAAGCTAGGACTGGACCTGATTAATATTTGGATTAGAGATTCCTTAGGAATTCTGAAGGCCGTAGGCGAGACTGGAAAGTCAGTCATAGTAATAACAACATTGCAGAGGAAATCAGTGGCAAATCGCTCCTGTAGGAAAATTTCCAGGAGTCCTCAGGAATCCATTTCATCTAAGAGGGTTTTCCCTTGTTCTGGTGGCAGTTCCAGTTAACCATGGCTGATCCTCAGAAGCTAAGCTGCAGCTAGCCTGGTTGCTACTTGGATGAGAGGCTGCTAGGGAATTTCAGAGCTGGAAAAAATAATTTAAAAAATCATCCTGGAAGAAAAGAAAGGTTTTCACTCCGAGGTTGTTGCGAAGAAAACATCACGCGTGTGTTGGTGGGGTCCCCAGCTTGACTGGAAGGCGATGGTGTGCTATATTCATGCAGTTCCTGTCTTGAAGCTGCAAAAAAGCTTGCTGTCTCTGGTGGTTTTTGCAGTTGTGGTCAAGAGGGAATTCCCAGGTAGGGATGCAGGAAAGGATCTTGGGGTGGATCCAGGCTGGGATTCTGCTTGGTGCTGATGGTGGTTTTTCTAATTTCTGTCCAAAGGGAGCAGGCTTTCCCAGAATGGGTTCACAAATGCAACTTAGCTTTCTGCTCTCTCCCCAGGTGCAGATTCTTTAGCTTAACAGAAACCCCTGAAGACTACACCATCATGTTGGATGAAGAAGGGTTCAAAGGTACGAGCAACTTGAGTACTGGTAGTCCTCACTTAGCGACCACTCTTTCAGCAGCCATTCAAAGTTACGACGATGCTGAAAAAATAACTTTACAGCCCATTTACGACCATTTCTGACCTTCGCAGTGTCCCTCAGTCATGTGATTGCCATTATGGTCAGTACATGTCCTGTGCCTGACCTGTGATTTTTTCTCCCCCCGCTTTGCAGAGCAAATTGATTGAAGAGAAAGGGATTACAAGAGAATAAACTGTTTGCTTTTCTACACATCGGAAGCAACGTGATCATGCTAGTAGCCCAGGGCTGGGAGCTGCTGGTGCGCTACACAAACAGCTTTACAATACTCTCTTGAAATCTCTCAGACAGAAAAAAAATGAACTCATGATTTGTGGTTTTGATGATTAGGAAGAAAATCTAGATAATAGAAAAAGGTGAGCTTTTCTTTTTGTAACTGTAGAGTAAGAGATAATTTTGTAATCATGCTTGTATTTGCTGCCAAGAAAATTGGGAGCTGCTTTATTTCTTTTTATCTTTTCTTTTTGCACGTTTTTTTTTCTTCCTCCTTCGTTTTCTTTCTTTGCTTCATATTTTTATGTTAGTTTTTCTCCTTCCTTTTCTTTACTTTATATTAGTTTTTGTTTTTCTCTTCTTTTTAAAACTTTTAATAAAATTATCTATCATCTCTCTCTCTATCTTTCTCCAATCTCTCTGCTCTGCCTGGAGGGGGGGGGGACCAATTGAGTCCTATAGGCAGCCTCTCCTTTACCTGACCCTTCCCCCGCCCCCCCCGCAGAGCAGAGATTGGGGAGGAAGGGATTTCAAGAGAGTAAGCTGTTTGTTCCTCTGCATATCGAAAGCAATACAATTGTGCCAGCAGTGGGAAAGGGTCAGGCAAAGGAGAGATTACCTACAGAAATCGCTTGTTTTTTCTCCCCCCATTTGCCAAGCAGAGAGATTGGAGAGGAAGGGATTTCAAGAGAGTACCGTAAGCTATTTGTGTAGTGTGCCCCAACCTGGGCTGTAGTGCGATCACGTTACTTTTGATGTGTAGAAGACGGTAAGCAGGTGCTTGAGCCTTCCAAAGGGCAGGGGAGCAGTTAAGGGGCAAACAAAAGCCAAAAGTGTGAAACTGAGTAGTCTTGTCTCCTTCCAGCCAGAAAGCACAGTCGTCGTCATGTGATTTCCCATGTAGCAACCGCTTCACTTAGCGGCGGAGTTGACGGTCCCAATTATGGTTGTTAAGCGGGGCTACCTGTATGTTGTGGTTCTGTGTGCGTGCATGTTTTGGATCTTTGTTTTCTATTGCAGTATATATGCAATTGTAAAACATTGCTGAGACAGAATTAGAAGCATTTTTATTTCATCTAGTTTGCCCTGGTGTTGTAATGGAATTGCTAGTCATCTGGTTTTCAGTTCTGGTGGAGTTCAGAGGGCCAATTTCCTAGGTTGCTGTTTCTTTACCTCCTTGCTCCCCCTTGCTGTAAGAAGTTTGAATCTGAAGTTTGGAGATTTGATGGTCACTGTGACGCTTCTACTGAGCTTCATAGAATCATGAGGTTGGAAGAGACCTTGGGAGGTCTTCTAGTCCAACCCCCTGCCAAGTGCAAGAATTGTAATTGCTGTTAACCGGGATTTGTGGAGTAAGTGGCTAAATTTCTAAGGGCTCACAGCATGCCAAGCTTCGCAGGACATGTTGAAGGACCCTAAGTAGTTGGGAGCAGGACCCATTTGGGGACTGGGTTTCGAGGTGCTGTTAGTGAAGGAGTTGGACTGGCATCGGAGAGAATCAGGTTCAAGTCCAATTCTGAATTGAAACTCTGGGTGACTCTCTCTCTGTCTCAGCCCAACAGCCTTTGTGATATAGTGGTGAAGGTGTCAGAGTAGAAATGGGGAGACCCAGGTTCTAGTCCTCCTCAGCCATGGAAGCTTGATGAGGGACCTGGGGACAGTCACTCTCCCCAACCCTAGCATACTTCTCAGGGTTGTTTGGAACTATAGGAGGAAGCACGGTGGACACCAGCTTGAGAATGAAAGCTGGCATCTAAATCTGATAAATACCTGAAATAAAGAAATATGGCATGCGCCATGATTTTAACCTCAATAGTTGGGCTCATGCAACACAGTAACTTGAAACCCAGCAAACCATATTATGGCTTAGCTTCTATAACATCTGATTCTACATTTGGTAGGGGTTGAAGTGTGGTGGGAAGCAGGCTGGTGACTTGGCCATCTAGAGAAGGTAGGCTGAACAAATGGAAGCCATCTAGAGACCATCCCTAGACCATCTCTAGATGGTCAGTCTCAAACTCCCATCATCTCTGTTTACTGGGAGAGGACAATGATGGGCAGCATTGATGCACTGTGAGCTGAATTCTGCCCCTCTTGTTGTGTGTCATGATGTCACAAGCATGTTCAAAGGGGCGGTGCAATGCTTCCTTTGTCATTTGGATGAAGATATCAGGAGGAATCTGGTACTGTAGTACCTTTTCCAACTACCACATTCCAAAAGGTGATGTCAGACTTCTGATTTTGGATATCATAGACTAAGGGTTGTCCTCCTACCATGATGAAAACATGAGATCCTACAGATGCCTCCTGTGGAGGCCAACAGAAATTGTAGCCCGATTGGCAAATCTAAGCTGATGACCACAGTTTTATTGTTGCCCCTAGATCAGGAATAAGTACAAAGTGTCTTTCTAAAGATTTTATTTATTTATTTATTTTATTTATTCAATTTATATAGCCACCCATCTCAGACCAGTAAGTGACTCTGGTGTCAGATGATTGAAAATGAATTGTTCTAAAGTCAATAAGAACAGTTTTACAAATGATTAAGCAAAATTGAATAGAATATATATATTTTTTAACACTCAGGAGACATATACTTGCAGAACAGGAGGTATCATGTTTAAGTTGCTGTGAGCCCTTTAGAAGAAGGGGAATAATAGGACCAGCTGGAGTGAAACTGTCAGTCTTTCCCCTTGCTGGCATTTTCCCCAATTTTTATGCAGAAATTCTGGTTGGCTCAAAACCAGAGTTTTCTGTTCTGTGGAAATGGGAAACGTTGGCTTTGCCAGTTCACAACTCAGGCTTTCAGAGACTGTATCCGAATCTCATGAAAGCAATTTCTTTAGATTTTTTTGGTCTGTTTTGAAGTTAAACAAGCAAGGCTGTTGGATTCCCAAATGCCTCAGCCTACAAAATCTAGTCGTGCTGCTTTTTACATTGTTTTGAAAGGAATCCTTCTGTAATTTCCCAGAAAAGTAGTCCCGTCACATCCATCGCTAGTTGCACATCTGTAGGCTGGCTTGCTAGCCTGGAAAGAAATATGCAGATAAGGATTTTCTCTCTGGAGTTGCAGGCTATCAAATAATCTTTCTGTGGCTTGTGCCAGGAAGATGGGGCACTTCCTGGTTTGGGCGTGCTTCTGGCTCCCCATGTTGGTGGTTCCTGTGGCAGGGCATTGCAGCTGTGTGCCAACCGTCTGTCCTTTGAAGCTTCTGTTAAGGGATGAGGTGCATTTTTACGTGGGAATGGATTTCTCTTGCTCACTCCTTCCTGGAATTTGCAGCTGAAGGGCCTTAGTTGTTTTGCTTTGCAGGAAGTGGCATCGGCATTAATTTAAGGGATGTGGTAACACCTTTGGGTTCTTTGATGCAGCCTGCATTTTGATTTTGCTGCTGGAGGCTTTTCTCTTGCTCAGCAAACAGCCTTCTCTCCATGCCTGAGCATTAAGAAACCGGGAACATTATGAAGCCTTGTTGAATCAGAGACCTGCAAGTTGGCAAGGAGAGTGTTTGGCCATTTGGAAAAGATATTGAAATGCCATGGTGGCTCTATACTGTACCTACAAAGATTAGAATTAAGCCATGGGATCCCCTGGGGGACACTATGGAAGCGAAAGTTGGACTTTGAAGAAGCAGGTTAGGAAGAGTCTTGACGCCTTTGAACTTTGGTGTTGGAGAAGACTCCTGAGAATATTGTGGACAGCCAAGGAAACAAACCAATGAACAAATCAACCCAGAGTTCTCACTCAAGGCACAAATGGCCAGGCTTAAATTATCCTACTGTGGATGCATTATGTGAAGACCCAGCTCTCTGGAGAAGGCCATAATGCTAGGAAAGGTGGAAGGAAAGAAAAGAGAACAAGCAGCAGCAAGGTGGAGGGACTCAGTTACAGTGGCAATGGGGGCACTGCTGGTTAATGAAAGATCATCGTGGAGAAAATCTGTTTATGTGGTTGCTAAGAGTCAATACCCAGCTGATAGCACATAATTAGTTGATCAGTGCAAAGACCCAGCTCCCTTGAGAAGTCCGTAATGCTGGGAAAGGTGGAAGGAAAGAGGAGAAGAGGAGGGCCAGCTGCAAGGGGGATAGACTCAGTTATAGTGGCAACATTGGAAGATCTGAAGGACCATGTTGGGGACAGCTTGTCCTGGAGAAAATCTGTCTACGTGGTCGCTAAGAGTCGACAACAACTTGATTGGCACGTAATCATCACCAGCCACAGTTGGGTGACTAGGCAACAGCTGGCTGGATTTCCAGGTTGTGCTAATATGTAAACCAAACTCTCTCAGCTTGGATGCTTTCCAGATGTGAGGCCAGCTCACAGACTTTTCAGCAAGGGCTATAGAAGCTTCTGGGAGTATCCTTTGGAGGATACCTGGCTTGGGGGAAGCTGTGCTTAGGCAAAATCAGTCATCCTACATTCTAGCTTGGTGTGATGTGTCTGTCCAGGGAAGGGTGAAACTCAGTCATGGACCACAAATGAGTCCCCAGTGTTTTCTGGGTGCTTTTTGGCCTCGTTTCAGTTTATGGGCCAGGTGTCAACTTGGCTAGACAGGAATGCTTTCTCTGTCTCGGTATATCATGCTTACTTCCTGTTCAAATCTATACTGGATCTAAACCTCTAATGTTGCAAGTGGAAAATAAAAGTAGACCTAAGTAATGAATGACATTCATGGTATCTATTCTGGTCGAGGAGAAATGAAGCAGTTCAGCGCTTAAGTTACAGCAAGCACCACCTGAAGGACGTGTTCAAATGCTCCGTCCGTCCGTCCTTCCACCCCCACCCCTTATTTATTTTCACAAGTTCTAGCAAAAAATGAAAATGGAAAAAAGAAAAACCTATAAAACCAAGAGGCAACACCAAACTAAACAAATGAGGAATGTAAAAGGAAAGGACGATATTTCCTTTGGGCACAGATTTGATGACATTTGTTCAAAAATAGAGTATGTTCTTTAATTTAGAAACTTTGAAATATTGTTTAATGTTTGATGGACGCATCGTTTGCAATCCCTTTTGGTCGTTTCTTTCCTCTCCTTTTTTTCTTTCTCTGTTTTTGCCCTGTTAGTCCTGGAATTTCCTTAGGGACTTTCAGCCGGTCCCTCTCCCTCAACCTTCTGCAATTGCAAAGGAGTGCCTTGAGCTCCTGGAGAAAAACACACCACAAAAACACCCCAAATGGCTCAAAATGCTCCTGAGCTGAAGGTGTTTAGCAGATTCTGACAAACTGGATCTGTATATAGATGGGATCGGTTTAGGAGGGCTGATAACTGTCAGCGCAACAACCCTGATCAGCCGGTTTAACTTGGTGCAAAGTCACTTCCTGGGACTTCCTTCCATTTGTTTGGGATGGATGGAGCAGGGCAGCCCACATAGGTGCCCTCCAGATGTTTGGGTTTCAGATCCCAGAATTCCCCAGCTGGAAGGGCGGGCCCTCAAATTGGAGGAAGTTGCAGCCGTGGCAAATTAAAGTTATATCTCTGCTTCTGTTTGTCCCTTTTGTTAGGCAATCCTGGAGTTCTGAGAAGGGGAAGAAACTCCTTGTTGCACATCTATTTTTCTCTTCCCCTCGAGGACGAGGGGGAGCAGATGCTTATCTCACGGGGTTTCACTTGTCCAGCAGGGCCGGGAGCGGAAAACAGCCCTGCCCGGCCAGTCCTTGCTGGCAGCAGCGGCTTTTGTATCGCCGGAGCCTGGACTCCCTCCAGCGCGGCCTTGGCAGGACATTTGCAAGGCGGAGGGAAGGTGTGATCCTTGTGCTGTTCCCAGGGAACGCGCTCCCCTGTGGGAACAGGCAGTGGAGCCCCCCCCGTTTCTTCTGGGAGGGGGAGAAACCTGCTGTCCAGGGGGAAGGAATCCAGTGGAATCAAATCCGTATTACGGTCACAGACCAACATGCAGGGGAGAAGAACAAGGGAGGGAGGGAGGGAGGGAGGAAGGAAGGAAGGAAGGAAGGGTGAAAGGAGGGAGGGAGGTAGAAAAGGAAGGAAGGAGAGATGGAGAGATAAGAGATGAAGGGAGGGAGGGAGGAAAAGTGAAAGGGGAGGGAGATAGAAAAGGAAGGAAAGATGGAGGGAGGGATAAGAGAGATAGGGAAGGAAGGAGAGATGGAGGGATAAGAGAAGGAAGGAAGGAAGAAGGGATAAGAGAGATAGGGAAGGAAGGGAGGAAGGAAGGAAAAGTAAAAGGAGGGAGGGAGATAGAAAAGGAAGGAAGGAGAGATGGAGGGAGAGATAAGAGACAAAGGAAGGAAGGAAAAGTGAAAGGGGAGGGAGATAAGGAAGAAGATGGAGGGAGGGATAAGAGATAGAGAAGGAAGGAAGGAACAGAAGGAGGAGAGACAGGCAGCAATTACTTCAGAAAGAAGCTTAAATTATTTTTAAATAATACTGGTTGTATTTCTATTTACAGTTTTTTATACTGCTTGGAAATTCTTTCAAGAGGATTGCTTTCCTGAAGGGGGGGGAGGAGGAGGAAGGGAACAACAGCAATAACAATGCCAACCTCTTTGTTGTTGTGTTGTTTTGAATAGCTCCAGTAAAGGCAGCACCCTAGCATTTGTGAGCTGTTTATTTAGAAACGTGCTGTTGTACCTTCTGAGCGATGCTGCGTCGTAAATCTGAGATTGGGCCGAAAGGTTGCCGAGATCCGGTGTCCATTTCTGTGATGCTTGGTGTGTTGCATTTTGGGGTGGGGGGTGGGTGGGAATTGTGCCTGGGGGAAAAAGAGGGCCGAATTGTCCCCCCCCGCCCCCCGTGAGT